TACTCCAGTCCGCCCGCTAAATCGATACGCGAGCATTCAGTCGTGTGTACGCAACAGGGGCGTTTAGGTGCGTGTGGTGAAGGAACACAAAAGTAAACGGGCGATGTTTTCTCGTCCACTTACACGGCAATTTAACAGTGGATAATTGCCAGTCAAGTCTCGTGTGTAAAACGATCGTCGCCAGTTCACGCATAAACTTAGAACTGTGTCCGATGCCCGGCCAACGATTAAGCTTTCAAGTAAACTTATGAAGATTTTTTTTCTTTACAACAGTATCTGCGAAGTGTGGAACCTAAATCTGAAGGCGGAAAGGGATAGAGAAAAATGCCTTCCAAAAGCCAAGAAAAATATTAAGAAAAAAGAAAATTTCGTTAGAAACAAAAACAACAGTACTGACTTGTTATTTAATATCAGTCCTCCTATACGGCAGTAAATGCTGGATAATCTCCTCACAGATTAAAAAGAGATTATTGAGAACCGCATTTCTGTAGAACCGCATTTCTGTTGCTTTATAACAAAAAATGTAGTTCTACAGAAGGATGTTGAGAATACCATGGACTGATCATGTGAGCAATGAGGAAGTCTTAGAGAAAATGGAAACAAAAAAGGGCACTTATATTTAGTGTCGCGTAAGTAACTTATGATTTGCAAAGGTATTATTATGTTAAATATTATTATATTAACACATTCTATTTTTCAAATAAATTGTGTTGCCTTGCAATAGTTATACATCTGAAAACAAACATGGAGTTTGGATAGTTCATACGAAAATACCATGGATAGGCCAAGGGTTAATGTTAATTATTTATTTACGAAATTCAGATAGAGAAAAAGTCCAGTATTTAAATAGATTTTTTCCGGGTTTCTTTACTTTACTGTTTCTCAGAATGAAAAACACTTCCGATTGTGTTCTACACCATACAACATTTATAACACTAGACAAGAAAGAAGAAGAAGAAAAAGAAGATGATCAATGAGAGGAGGAGGAGACGACGTCGAGGAGAAGGAGAAGAAGAAGAAAGTTTCTGTTCGAAATTAGCTTTCAAGTAAACTTATGAAGATTTTTTTTCTCTTTACAACAATATCTGCGAAGTGTGGAACCGAAATCTGAAGGCGGAAAGGGATAGCGAAAGATGCTTTCCAAAAGCCAAGAAAAATATTAAGAAACAGGAAAATTTCGTTAGAAACGAAGAAAAGAGTACTGACTTGTTATTTAATATCAGTCCTGCTATATGACAGTGAATGCTGGATAATCTCCCCACAGATTGAAAAGAGATTATTGAGAACTGCATTTCTGTAGAACCGCATTTCTGTTGCTTTATAAAACAGTTCCGATTGTGTTCTACTCCATATAACGTTTATCTTAAAATGTAGAACTTCTTTCGGGGATACACCGTAGCTGGAGTTTAAAAGAGCCGAAGTTTCGAGACGGTGTATGGTGTTTTTCATCAGCAGTTGGATTAGTGCTACAAAGTTTTAGGAATTTAGGTTGGAGATTCTGTATTATAAGCAGATTAGGTTGAAGGCTCGAAATTCTACGCTTGGATTCTCCCACAAGACAATAGGCTATTGGATTAAAGTGTTGCTTCCTGGATTTGATGGCCTAGTAATTGTGAGTTCAGTAACTGACCTGGATAGTATAGATTTAAACTCGGTGGAAACAGGGTGCGCAGAATAGTACTAAATAAAACAGAAAATATAACCCTGGATACAGTCAGCTTAACAAGAACAATCCCATCCAGTTGATTGAATAAATGGCCCATTTCGACATTTCATGAAGGTTACCCCAATCACCAAGAATCTGATAGAAGCCTTCAGGGTTCGCAAATGCCGAAACGTGACCGTAACAATAAAGATGAGGACAAGAGCCCGCATATGAATAATATTTTTTCCTGTCCTGCGCAGAATATATGACGCACAGGACATGTGATTTCCACGCCCGTACATCATATGTAGTGTACACGAGCTATAGTTTTTAAAGGATGCTTAAGAAAATATTCTATGACTGAGCAAGACGTCTGAGGAAAGGCCTAATCTAATATCATATATGGCCACTGGACTCTTAACTAATAATGTAGGGTCTCAAATGAAAGTATCTGCCTATATTTCTGAGATGAGGTATTATGTACACTATTTACATTATTCGGACTATTGTCCTCATCATTGTCGCCATATTAATTACAACGTTTTGGCCTTTCAGTATCTGTCTATATTTCTGAGATGAGGTATTATGTACATTATTTACATTATTCGGACTACTGTCCTCATCTTTGTCGCCATATTTATTACAACGTTTCAGCCGTTGTACACTCCGGCCTTCTTCAGGTGGTTGGAATGTCGAACTGAACACTTTATTTCGCTCACTAGGGTAGACTGTTCTAGTTCCACGTGCCATGTTTAATGGATGTCAGTTATCAGTTATCTCCTGTTAATTCCCCTTCTCCACTGCCTTAACTGGGTATTGAACTCACACTCTTTGGGTCCTGTCCCTGGATCTAACCAACGCCTTTATCCACTGTGTCATGTGTCCGTGAGGACATCTGTGTATGAATTTTTGGGTATTATAAACCTAATGTCAAAGAAACCATATTTTTTACCAGAGCTCACATTGCAATTTTTTGTTATTATCGCTTTTCCTTATTACTGGTTCACATATTGAATTCATTTCTATCCTTGGTCGGCTCAGGACATTTTTTGGACTACCATATGTGCTGAATAATGTAAATAGTGCTCAAATGAAAGATCTCTATTTTTCTACATTATCGAAATGATTATAACCTTTCGCTTAGCAAAAGAAAAGTTTTAACCCCGAAATTGATCTTCACTTTCATCAGTGGGTAGGATATCATGAAGACTTAGATCACTATCATTAAAATGTTTAGAAATCATTACAGGGATTCTTTTATTTCTCTGTTAGATTCTGAAAAAATATAGATGTTTTACTTATAAAAATAAAACTAAATGTTTTTCTGCACACAAATTTCGAGTACTTTCAACATAGCCCAATGTCATCATCAACGTATTAAAAAACGACGCCAATGTCTTTTCATTTGTGAATGACGATAGCTTTTAGATTAAGATGCAATACCTTTTCGCTTATGAACGCGAAAAGCTTTTCGCTTGTAAATGTCGATAACTTTTCAGTTGAGTCTCGATACCACTTCGCTTATGAACGCCAAAATCTTTTCGCTTGTAAATGTCGATATTTTTTTGATTGAGTCTCGATACCACTTCACTTATGAACGCCAAAGTCTTTTCATTTGTGAATATCGATATCTTTTCGATTGAATTAATTCCTAAACTGCCCCTTGCTTTTCTGTTCACTCTATGTATTTTTCATTTCCTCGAGTTGATTACGGGTTGAAAACAATAATTAGCAATTCATTTTGGAAGCATTGATTGCTTGTCTTAATATTTCTTTTACCTTGTTAATTGTTTTCCCTTCACCGTTATAAGCTTCCTTTACCCATTCTTTTTCTTCCCTATTTTTGAAATACTTCCGAAAAAAAAAAAAAAAAAAAAAAAAAGGAAAGAAAAGATTTTCTTCGGAGCCAGACGCAACAGATCGTATAATTAGCGGTGTAGGGTTGAACGATTTCCCCAAATTTCGCAACCTAATACATTAAGACAAGTTTCTCCAAAAATGTTTCTCATCTGTGGTACCTATTCTGACGGACGCACCGCAGTACCCCTAACCAAGAAATATCACCTTTCTTGTTTTTTTTCACCCCTCTCTTCAAATCTATATAATAATACACTTGTTTGTACTTAATTACCTGCCTACTTACAGTATGGGCCGTATTCTTTATTATTCCAATATAATTTTACAAAACAGTACTCAGATAAAGTACTTGACAATGCACCTTAAAAAGAGGAAAAAGAAATAAAAATGTAAAATTATGCCGAGAAAATATCCAGCCATGTATTATCAATGTAAAATAAGTCGACTTAGAGCAATGTCACCACAGACCATTCCAGAGTTCTCCTTCGCGTACACACGCACTCAGTCTAGTGTCTCTTTAACTTTTCAAAACAAATTCTTTCGTTCGGGATTACCATCAGCTACCAAATAGTATTTTCCGTAATCTCTATCCACGTAGTTTCCACAGAGATTTTGACGAAAGTCGGGGTCGTGAGGGAGCTAAGTCTAGTCTTGTGGAGAATGATAATCTTGGGGGGAAACTACTTAAAACGTGAAAAGATGTGCGGCTGGCTTATTGGAGGATATCGCTTATAAGTTAAATCGTCCTTCTAATATCGCTTTTCTTGCGTTGAAAAAGTGTAGAGGAGTTTTATACTACCCAAGTCAATAACTACAGGAAAATATGTTGCTTTTTAAAGTAAATAAAGATCCAGTGGGTTGAGTGTGAGAAGCGCTATAAACTGCCCCACTGTCGGAGAGAAGAAGTTCTAAACTAATTTTAGACGCAGTTTCGTATCATTTAACCTTGGCTAATTGATTCATAATTCATAGCGGTGGAATACGCCATTACTTTCCGAAAGAAAAACTCTGTACAAGACGTGAACAATCAACTGGTTCGATCATTGTGAATATGATACTTACGCACTACATAACTTTCCTCACTGCCATTGAGTAGTCACCACCTGATAGCGCAATAAGGTATATTCGGCCAAGTTATTTCAAGATCACGCAACCGGTTCCCGAGATAACTGAGTACGTTTTAAAAAGATATCGTAGTTAGAATACAAATTTTCTAGTTTTTATAAATGATCTTTCCAATTTGAAAAAAAACTTAGTGTCAACTTTCTTTTCTATTCAAACATTGAATCAATAGCAATGAATGTAATTATTCGTTCAATATCGATTCAAGATTAAATATAAGGTACCCAGGAACTATCGGATCTATTATTCTGATACAAGTTGTCATCTGTTCTTTAACAAAATATTTTCTTTCAACAACCTCTTGGAATCATTTTATGTCAGGTTAATCTTCGAGAGGCATGGCTACCACGTAACTCAATACTAGCGGTCAGGTTTATGGCCACCTCACGTTGAAACACCAGTACTCGTACGATCACCGAAGTTAAGCAACGTTTAGACTGGTCAGTACCTAGATAGGTAACCGCTTGGGAATAACAAATACTGCAAGATTGGATGTGCGGGTGGTGTAATTAATAATGACTTGGAGTTGTTAATCGCAGAGCCGAGTTCCAATTTCAGTTGGGTTCGTTATATTCACTTACGAGCAAATACCCGCATGATTATTTAGATTTCAGCATTACATAACCCATAGAGGTGTTGATATGCCGCTAAACAAAAACAACCAACCAACAAACAAACCAACCAGTCATGGTCGACTCATCGGCTGTTAAACCTGTTTCAGTATCTGCCTATATTTCTGAGATGAAGTATTATGTAAATTATTTACATTATTCGGACTATTGTCCTCATCTTTGTCGTCATATTTATTACAACGTTTCGGCCTTTCAGTATATGTCTATATTTCTGAGATGAGGTATTATGTACACAATTTACAATATTCGGACTATTGTCCTCATCTTTGTCGCCATATTTATTATAACGTTTCGGCCGGTGTACGCTCCAAGCCTTCTTCAGGTGATTGGAATGTCAAGGACACATGGCACAGGGGATATAGGCGTTGGTTAGATCCAGTGACAGGACCCAAAGAGTGTGAGTTCAATACTCGGTTAAGGCAGTGGAGAACTATCAGAGGGAAATTAACAGTAAATAACTGATAAGTGGCATCCATTAAAACATGGCACGTGGAACTAGAACAGTCTACCCCAGTGAGCGAAATAAAAGGTTCAGTTCGACATTACAACCACCTGAAGAAGGCCGGAGCGTACAACGGCCGAAACGTTGTAATAAATATGGCGACAAAGATGAGGACAATAGTCCGAATAATGTAGATAATGTAAACCTGTTTCACCCTCACCACTAGGCATTTTTTTTGTTAGGGGTGAAGTGGCTAGATAGTGAGCAGGATTAAAAAGAAGACTTGAATTAGCGGCTGTATGGTCCACTGCCATCTTGCATAATGATATACACTAGTATTCGTTACTATGCCTGTAACCAGTGTAGTGATAACACGACGCATTGCTGGGAGGACGGCTTCCAAGACAGAAGCCAACAACAAGGGCAGAAGATTCCCTCAATGAAATCAATCTCCACAGGACTGTGACCAATTTGGCGGACCTCAGCTTATTGGAGGATATCGTTTATAAGTTAAATCGTCCTTCTCGTATAGCTTGTCTTCCATTGAAAAAGTGTAGAGGAGTTTTATACTACTCAAGTCAATAAGTACTGAAAAATATGTTGCTTTTTAAATAAAGCTCCAGAGGGTTGGGTCGGAGAAGCGCTATAAACTACCCCACTGTCGGAGAGAAGTTCTAAACTAATTTTAGACGCAATTTCGTATCATTTAACCTTGGTTAATTGATTCATAATTCATAGCGGTGGAATACGTCATTACTTTCTGAACACGCTACATGTATCAGTTAGTTGGCCAATAATTCATAAAGGTAAAAAACGTAATTACTTTCAGAACATCTTAATATGTATAATTGTAAATAGGTACTCAGATGACCTTGTTCCATACTTGGAAATTCAGGACATTTTTATTGCTTGAACAATCTCGCACGCATTGCGATTGTATTTCAGAAAAGCAGACAACCCCATCTTCGCCAGCTGATCTATTTATTTTTCACGGCGCTACGGTCGACAATGATCTTCGTAAAAATATTCGGACGTTGTCCATCTGGTTCTCCATAAAGTCCAGTGATTGGTCAGAGTAATAAAACTAATATTAATCGACTGACTCGGTGATTGGAAAGATGAAGGACATATTGTTGGATGTTAGGCGAGGCTATTTTTCCCCTTTCGCTTTTAATTTCTTTTATTCGTTTCTTATCGACGGCCGACACCTGCAAATTATTCAGGTGAGAAAGAGTAGGGGGAAACTCAGTTACTGCGGATGATAAGGCGTGAGAGAAAATTCAATCCCGGCACGAAGGATGGATTTAACGGATTCTCACTTTATCTCGCAAGTTCACGTGCCTTCTCCCAAGATGGAATCAAATAGACAAAAAGAACAATAAAAATACAGCTATACTGTTCTTATTTTATTTACTTGTGAAAGAATCCATCTGTTTGTTTTATCTATACTAGCGGAATCTAAGGAAATTCCACGACTTTAATGTTTTTCATTGAAATTAATAGTTCTGAGGTCACTTAACTCCATGGAATGTAAACATTTTTTATGCTTTATAGCATAATTACAATGATATTCCTTTTTTATATATATATCCTTGATATTTTGATAGCAGGACCAGCAATGCAATAGTAATGGCAAGGAGTAAAGGTCGTGCGAATTAAATAAGGAACTAACGAGGGAAGGAAGGGCATATTTTTGCTATTTGAAATTTCTGATGAATCTTAATTCAGGGATTGAATAGGCTCATGGTGAGTTCTGCGAAAATAAAATAACCGTAAAAATTCCACTTATCGCATTGTTAAGTATTTGAGCTTAACAACTTTAACGGAATATTGTAATAACAATCAGGAAAAGGTTTGAAATTGACAACTTTTCCCATTTTACTGAAACAGAGACTTTAAACATTTCTATCTA